AGAGTGGATGATTTAAGACACATGAAATGTGTTCAATTTAACGCATCAGTTTTTACAATGTATTTCAATTCTAATAAACTTAACATTTCACTCGAGGATATTAAATTGCAAAAAATTGAAGAAAAAATTCGATTTGCAGAGACAAACGACCTTTTTCTTCGATAAAGTTTTATAACATTCTTGCAGTAGTAGTAGTGGTAGATTGTGGTAGGTTTGCTTTGACAGCTCCTTGAGTCACGTAGATCCCTGAGGATCCACTGTGACATCCCGCCGATTGCTTTTTGTTATGATGGTAGTAACTCTAGCCGAGTGTTCTTCACCAGACTTAATAGACTATTCACCATTACTCCTTCCAGTGAAGTTCCTCCTTGAGTTCTAGGTATATATCCCCTAGAGCCGGTATCTTTTGCAAACGAATGCCCGAAAGCAACACGAAATATGAGAGAGAGAGAGAGAGAGAGAGAGAGAGAGAGAGAGAGCTATCTTCTTTCTCACCTCTGCATAACCGACATTCTCTCTGCTTGGTTAGTCTAAAGTTATACGTATGTGAGAGAGTATTGTTAAGAGTCCAATGCATACTTTCAACTTCTGCCCGTTCATGGGGTTAAAAGCTCTTTCGCCTTTAATATTCTTGTAAAAAGAATAAATTGTTCTTTTGGAGACAGGTTAATGAACTTTCCCAAAATTTGTGATGGTGAGATTTTAAGAACATTGTAAAGAAAATATTCTTTGCTGGAGAAATATTCTTTGTTGAACACAACAAAGTTGGATACAACATTCAGTACTTATGAGACTTATACTAAATTCTAAGACTGATATTCTCTCTCTCATAATTGTAAAGTATTTGCAATCTTTGTTTGAGAGCATAATTACAGATTTGTACTCATGGGCTATTATTCGGCTGTTTAAGTCGATATTTCCTATATGAAATACGTACATATGAACGAGTATTATCAATTATGACGAAAAATTGACGATATTATGATCACTTGTCAAATAACGACAGACCACGAGTGACCGCCTAATTCGACTCAGATCTTTCTTCATTCTCGATAAGTTCATTAAACGCCCATTAAAATCGGCTCCCTCTATATTCAATGATTTGATGCACCTGGAGAAGTGCATAATACTATGCCGCTGTAGTATGCCGCTGACCAAGTTCTGTGTTCTTCGTCCTAACTTCCCTCGACCCAGCATCCTGCTCTCGGCTGTTCCGGATACTCCATGTGTGGCACTGACACACTCGTGTAGACACCATTTGACCGGAGGAACCCGTATTAATTAATGCGATGCAGACAAGAGCCGGATTAAATATTTCAAGAATCGTCGTGATATATTTTAATCATCCGAACTGGAATAATAACCAAGGCAACGATATACGTGCTACGTATCGCTCGAAACATAATAATTCAGTTATAGATAGGAACAATAGGCTGTAAAACGGTTTGAGAATATTTTTCTGATGAAGTTTAGAATGATTATTTACGAGCCATTATTTTTACTGTTGAGTCTGTGCGATAATTTGTTATGACATCTATTTTAAATACTGATACTTTTCCTTGAATTTCATTAAAAGATTGAGATAGTATTACAGTTAAGAATTAGAATAATTTTGCAGAGCATCTCGAAATTTCGTATTAATATTCGTTATCGCAAGTGAGAGTAAACTTGAGTAACATATTATTAGTTAGATTGAAACTTTCTGTGTAAGTGTATGATAAACTATTATTAAAACCAATTTTCCGGTTAATAAAACCAATTTTCAATCGTAAAATGATTGAAATCAAGCATATGAATAAATAAGTTAAAGTTTAAGGGCTGTGGAAACTTCTCGCGGAGAACCAAGAACTATTAATCAATATACATATTTATACGGTCTTTTTATCCTGAATTGCTAGCCAACTTGGCCCTGTACCAGGACAAGATGGCCACGCTGCAGCATGTTCCTATTTCGGTTACAGAAGAAAATATACAGTTGACAGGATCGTTGCGAGTATAAAACCATAGAGAAAGGTTGTTTCTTTCACATTTGTACAGTCAATCAACGATTAATTGTCTGAGAATTTCTGAAAAAGCCTAATCTTTACGTATATCGTTGCCTTTGTTTTGATTTTTATCGTGCAATTATAATATACATCATCGATTTTTAAAATAATTAATTGGACTTTCATCGTCATCGCGTTCATTAACACGTTTCTCTGGTTGGCTTGTATCTATACGGGTGTCAGTGCCAGTGCCAGTGTCAGTGTCAGCGTCAGTGTCACGATGAAGCCGGGACAGAGGACACAAGACGATGAGACAGGTTAGTGATATATCATGTATTTCCAGGTATGATCATTCATTATTTTAGATGTTTCCGTTTTTAGCGGACTTCTGACAAAATTACTGAGAACGAAGATCTCTGACGAAATTACTAAGATTTTTTACAAAATTACACTAACAATGAGTTTACTGAGAGTAAGAGATATGAGATTCTGATTCAAGTCGTGAAATTTAGAATTCAGCATCAATCTCACGAATATTAATTTTTTTCCTGTAAAACCAGTATTTATAGTTGTAGATTATATATAATATTTGACTAAGCCTTAAGAATGTCATTAATTAAAAAAATTATGTTCACAGACTATCGTTTAGCTGTTTAGATCAATATTTTTCATATGAATTAAGTATAGAGATTAATGAATAATCAAATTTATATAAAGTTATAATTAACTTATCAAATAAATAAATGGACAGTAAATACCGGTTTAAACATTGCAATTGCAATTGCTGATTTTTGTCTTTAATAATATACAGTCTCCAATTTTAAAGATGCTATGCACTATTTCTTATTCTCCTATTTTGAATCCTCAAATCTTTTTCTCTCTTATCAAAATTCTGAACCCGAAAAAAAGAATCATGATAAGACGAAGAAGTAAATTATTATATTTGATGTACTCATTACCTATCTTTATTAAACCGTTTATCATATTGAACGTAATGATCACTCATGCCTAACATAATCATATTACCGCGTCCTATTATGTTACGAAATATAATTAATTGCATTTAACAGATCGAATATACGGCCAATATACGTTTTAATAGGACGAGGTAAATGATATATATATATTTCAAATTATATTTATGAACTGTATCGTTGGTAAATCAGTCATATGTTAAGCTTTTTTTTTTAAATCAATGAAGATTAACACATATTTATATATATATTTAATAATCTGATCAGAATACAAGTAGGAACTCGTGTATTCTATGATAATATTATTAAATATATAATATGTGTCGAAATATTATTATTGAACATCGTTTTAATTATTTGGCTTTTCCGATATATTACGAGCTTCTTGTGAGATGGTAAACATAAGTCACGTGGTACGTGCGTAGCGTCTTGTTTTTGTTATTGTTGTCTGACGCGGATAAGCTATCACACATACAGTATGTTCTCCTAAACTTCCGCATAGAGAAAACAACAGTAAGTATTCCCCCACACAATTTGTATAATATAATATTATATTTTGAGAATCTGCATTGGGCCTTCAACAAAATATATAAAGTTAAAATGTAGAAAACCAAACTCCTTCGGCTTAGGTATGTGGCAAAAATATTGACTGAAAAAATTGTATATATTAATAATAACACAAATACATAATATAGTAGGCTATCAATGATATCAAATCAAACTCTAAAGATAAAAGCCATGCGTTGAATGTCAGTACGCGAATTTTATTAATTGTTATATAAAAGATTTGATGTTACATTTAACAATCGACTTGATGTAGCATCAAATATTTTTATGTAACAATAAAATCCATTTATACGACATCCAACTCACAGCCTTTTATTTCTAGAGTTTAATTTAAAAATAAACAAATATTTTATATCGATATAAATTTGATATTTTTTTATATAACAAACATTTCAAGCGGATTTGGTAAATATAAAGTAAAGTGTAATTAATGTTTTTATCGTGATACCTTCTATAGTAAAATAGGAAGACATTTTTATTTAAATAGTTAATAATCAATAAATTTTGTGTGTGTGTGTCAAATTGTAATATCGGGTGTTTCAATTTTCTCGGTTTGCCTCACAAATCTCGTCACATGAGCGTACACATGTATTCAAAGAACAAATGATTAATATCTATTTATATCGATTTAACACACACATACACAGGCCAGTCACTTGCAGCTTGAAACACATTAGTAGGTGAAAAATGATCGATTAATCCATCTTATATTGTTGTATAGCGCAGGACCTGAAGCTGTTTTCAAGTCTGCAGTTATAGCAAAATTGATCTAGACACGAGGAAGTAGCTAAAATAGATAAACGACTAGCAAACACTGCGATACCGCATGTTTTCTATTTAACTAATATAAATGACAGAGAGAAAATTTTGTTCTGAATTGTAAAAGAGGGCGGCCAGAAGTTTCGCCTCAGTAATAACAGCTTTTTGCACACAATTAAAGCTTACGTCGAGTTAATTCCAAATATATAACTCTCTAACCTAAACCTTTTATCGTTTTCGAGAAAAATCCTCAAAAGAATCCTCAATGATTTGATATCATTGATAGCCTACTATATTGTGTATTTGTGTTATTATTAATATGCACAATTGGCTCAGTCTATATTTTTCTCAAAAGAATCCTAATTTCAACAGATAATGGCACCAGGAAAGATTGACTTAAATTCAGCGTGATTTCGACCTGATAGCGCCTATTCTTATGTGAGTGCACGGAGGAATTTTCATTTGTCAGTAAAAGTATTTACTCTATTTGTTATTATTTCGACGTATTTATAAAATTCATAAATAATTCGACAATACCTAAATGATACTTAAAAATCGTAACAATAACGTTTGCCCACGACTGTACTTGTTTGATCTACCATATATTTGTCTATCAATTATTCCCTTCAAATTCGCACATACGCCATTTCTCTTCCTGTCTATTCAAGCAATCTTTCCTCGCGTCTCTTACGACGAATATTCTCTTTTCTCTTACCTATGTCGTGCTCTTCGCTGCTCCTATGAATCCTCTATCCATTTTTTAAACGGCGACGACGAAGCGCTCCTCCCACAGTTTCCATTTCACTCTGTTGATTCTCTTCCTTTCATCGTCAGCGATTCTTCCTCCGTCGTTTTTGCGAACCGGATAAACGCGAGCGTTCAAAAGGACCGGAGCGCAAAGCGTCGGCAACGTATCCCTGAAAAGTTCCAGTCGCTTTTCAGCAGGTGACAACAAGAGCGGGAGCGCCAGCGAATTTTGAGCATCGTTTCCAATTTGAAAGCGAGCCGCGAAAGTTGCCGGCAATTTAAAGTTTTCGCACAAGTAGTTCCGCTGGATCTGTCGGCTAACGGAAATTAATTTTTCTTTGCACACTTGATCGGAAAGAACGCGTCGTCGTAGAGCACTGCGTTTCTGATTGCGTTATCAGACTCCAATTTTAAGTACGAGACATGTTCGATAAGTAAATCGTCATTCGAACATATGAAGATGTGTCTGGAAAGGAGGATTAATCGTTATGAAACTTCTGCTTTAGATAGCCGACAAAATAGGAGATATTTGGAAATTTTTTTTTAAAGAAATATACGAAGATGTCAATATAGGCATTTAATCGTGCTATTTATTATATTGTTTTAAGTGTGAAAAAATTACTTGAAAAGGTGAAGTTGAAATTTTGTCTCGGTGTTTTGTGCTGAGTGCAATGTCGCCAGACACTTATAATTAGCGGATAACATTACAGTTCATGTAATAATTTATAACAAAAAAAATTTTTAATAAAAAATTTAAAAATTGTATTAAATTTGCTGTGAAGAGTAAACCTATTCTTTGAAAAATTGCCAAAGTTTCTTCAGGGACATTAAATATATAAATAAAAATGAGAAAATAAAAATTACTACTATTCGTAATTACAAAGTGCTCCCATTTCGTGAAATTTCGACTTTTCGCGCACAACAAAAGTTCATCATCCAGAAAATTTAAAAAAGCTTTTAAATTTTCTAGTCCCATTTATTTCAGATTATCACACGTAATGTTATTCGCTAGTTAGAGGCGTCCGGTGATATATTCAGCACAAACAACTTGGGTGAGGAAACTTCAATTCTTTTTTAAAAATAAAAATTCTTTTTTAAATAAAATAAATAAAATATAATTAAATATAATTTTTATAGTTAAAACAATAATAAATGGTCAAAACTCTATATTAATATATTTATTTATTTATTTTAGAATAATTCGTAAAACCTTCCTATTTATTGGCTATCTAAACCGAACGAAACGACTTCTTTTGTAATCAATCCTGTTAATTAAACTTTTTCCATCGTTCTCCTAGCTAATGTTAAATTCGGACGTTACGATTTTAATTACGTTATCAGGTTGCAGTTTTAAGTACAAGATATATTCGAGTAAGTTCGAACGAAAATATGTCTAGAAAGGAGGAATAATGATTAAGACGAGCCAGCTTTCTCATTCGTAATCTATCGCGAATTAAATATTTCCCGTCGTCTTCCGTGGCTAATTCTAAATTCGGACGTTACGGTTCTAATTGCGCTATCAAATTACAATTTTAAATGCGAGATATATTTAAGAAGTGAGTCGTCACTCGGAAATATGAAAGGAGTAATCTTAGAAAGGAGTAATCGTTAAAATTCGACGAACCGGCTTCCTCATTCGTAATATATCATGTGCATTAAATATTTCTCGTCGTCCTCGGTGGCTAATTTTAAATTTGGACGTTACAGTTTCAATTGCGTTATCAGATTGCAATTTTAAATACGAGATATATTAAAGACGTAAATCGTCACTCAGAAATATATCTAGGAAGGAGGAATAATCGTTAAGAAGACCAGATTTTCTTATTCATAATTTATCGTGCGAATTAAATTTTTACCGTCGCTTTCTGTATTCAATTAAAATTCGAGCGACACGTTTCTGCATTACTAGATTGCAATTTTAAATACGAGATATATTATGAGAAAACCATAATTTGGTTTTGAGAGAATCATTAGTCATATATGCGTTTGATAAGGAGAAATTATCGTCAAAACAAACGTCTTTCATATTTAATCTATCGAGCGAATCTAATATTTATTGTCACTCTTTATATCCAACTTTAGATTCGGACGCCATTATTAAGTTACAATTTTAAGTTAAGAAGATGTCATTGTTCGGATGAAAATGTATCTAAGGATCAATTGAGAAGAGCGATCTGTCTAATGTGAATCAAGCTGGCTCGTTTTAACCATTATTCCTACTTTCCAGACATATTTTTGTTCAAACTTACTTCTCGAATATATCTCGAACTTAAAATTGCAATCTGATAAGTGTGCTGTCTACCTTGTAAGTCTGGAACCCTTTTTCTATACAATATAGAAACTTGTATAGTAAAATTCATGGCGCGAAGAACTAATTGTGCAACGCGAGCTAACAAAGCGTATCCCATAAAAGTCGCCCGTCTAACGATCAACTTCCCCAAACGACACGCCGATTACCTCATTGAGAAAATTAGCATGTTAATTAGCACGTGGGCGCAGCAGCACGCAACTTTTCGTCGCGCACCGAGGCAAGGCGGCACGACCTTTTGCCCGCTTCACCAGCGGTAACAAACAGGGGCTTTAATAAATTAGCTGATGGATACGCCGGCGGAATTGCCGGACTAATTCCGGGTCAGGAAGTAGGACGAGTGGCGGATTACAGGCGAAAACTCGATCTCAAGTGTGGGAGTTACAGTGTGGGAAGTTATCGTGGCGCCGTTGCCGCGAGGCCGCCATGTTCTGTTCTGTTAACTGCAAATTTTACGTGTCGTTTTATGGAACGTTCGCGGTTTTCGAGTGAGGATGCATGCACGCATAAGAGTCTCGTACGATTTCAGGTGTGATCCGTCTCGATATATGAATATCTAGATGGAACATGTACTTAAAACTGGGTTCCAAAATAGTTCAAACCTAACCTCAGAGAAAATTTTTTGAAATATAATTGGGATTCAGAGTCTTATCCTCCAAAATAATTATTTTTTCTGGTGCCATATACGGGAATTTGCTAAACATTTCTAAATATAGTACATACAGAATTTCCCAGATCACCGTTTTCAAACTTCACGAGAACGTAAAACGGATTGAGATGAACATGAAAGTCCTATGTTTTGCGATATTCGTAATAAAGAGCTCGAGATATTAATTAAAGAAGATTGGTGAATGATTATACACGATATGGTAGATAAGCTGTAGTGTGCTGTTATGTGCTTATACAATAGATTAAATTGAACAAAAAAATTCTTTATCATTTTGCAAATAACCACGTAGACTTTTAATTATTCACGAAAGAAAATTGTTATATGATTGTGCGCAATAATGCACAAATTTTCTTCAATTAATATCTTTTATGTTCAATCCGTTCTATGCTCTCGTGAAGTTTGAGAATGATGATTTGGGACACCCTGTATATATGCCGATCAGATTGTCCAAGCATGTTCCAAATAAGTGGTATCGTATTGCGAATACTAATAGGGAATCTCATTCTAATCCTTACTATAGATAATTTAATGAGATCTAATTGGAATCCAATCTAATTTCCCACAAAAATCATGGGATTTAATTAAATCTGTGAGAATTCGGATTAAAAGTTAATAAATAATAGTTTAATGTTATATATTAAAAGCGCTCTAAATATTTTTTTCAACATAAACATGAAAATAGAGATTGTAAGAAAAGAAACTTTGGGAAAAAATATTCAACAGAAAAAATGGGATCTGTTTCCCATTTGGAATCGCATTTTTAAAACATCATACATCAAATCTGAATTTTCATAGTTTTACTAATCAGATCCCATGATTTTTTTAGGAAATCGGATTGAACTCCAATTATATTCTAAAAAAATTATGCGGATAATTAGTATAAAAATAGAATTTCTTACTTAATACTTTAAAAGTGTACTGATGTTATCGATTGAAAAAGACGCGAATTTCTATAATATCTTTATTTTAATTCTAAAACGCGTGTTTGAGACTAAAATGGGATCTCTAATTGTCAGTGTGTGTATATGTGTGTGTGTGTGTATCGTAGTGAGATAACTAATTTTGGGATGAAAAGTGCGGCCAAGTACCTATAGACATATCGTAGATTTTTTTCGGACAAAAATTTTGACTCCGTTTTACACTTAAATAAAAAATTTTGACGCGTGGATTACAAATATGTACATGCCGAGATGAACGAAACTATCGTTTCAGAGAAAATGATTAATTTAAAATTCCATCGTCACTAGATAGCGCTAGTAATCGCTAGTAATCGTATTGAGTACAGTAGCCGATCGTTCCGATATTTCCTCGCGCCATATACCTTTATATGGCTTATATCTTCTTAATCTTGAAGGTAAAAGCAATATGATTCATAATTTTAAAAAGTCGGCTTTTTAAAGCGCTGGAAGAAAAACAAGAGAAACTATTTTTTTTCGAAAAATCTGTTTCTTTGAGAAAAATTTCCCGGATATGGGAGAAACTTATCGAGATAAAAGATATTGCAAGCTTTAATCATCTGACCTTACACAGACCAGCACAATAGCTTTAATATGTCATGCAACTAAGTTATTTAGGACTTTCTAATTGTATACATTGTTGGTTTATTATTTATCGAATACTAGAGAAAGAGCACAGACGATGTATCAAAGTAGTAATCTGTCACTGTGATTGCTTTACCTTAATGCTCAGAAGTCAAGGTATATGGTTAGAAAATACTGGTGACCTAATTATACTGCGTGTTGAGGACATTATGCAGAATTGTATATTGTTAATAAAGGCAAGGTGGCAATTTTCGAGAAAGAGAAAATTATTGCATTTCAGGTATCTGGATCAATTCTCTCATACCGCCAATTCGACTCATTATTAGCTCACACGTGTACTCGGCTTTTAAACGATTTGAACATGGTATCCCCGACTAAACGACTAGAGAAATTTGTCCAATGATCCTAATCAAATCCAATAGTCTCAATCAGTAATATGGTATAGTATAAAGGGGAAAAAAATGTTATCCTGATAAATTATATAACGCAGCGTGGCAATCAAGACGTTATTAATAATAACGTCCTTAGTAATGATAATTAATGACTTTATTAATAATTATTAATCCGTACAAGCTGGGAAGCCATTATAATGATGCGGCAGCAATTGTGTGAAATACAATTATAATTAATTATTATTGTCATTATTATCAT